TTATAAATATATATAAAATAAAATGTTGAAAGCGGACTTTATATTATATTATATAAAGTATAATATAAAATATAAAATATAATATTATATGTTAATATAAAATTTAATGTTATATAATATACATTGGCATATTTTAGAAATTAATATTTGTGAGACCCGTGGCTTTCTTTCTCACTTTCTTCCTCTCCACTTTAAGACTCTCACTCACTCTCTTGTTCTTCTCCTTGTTGTTGACTCTAGGTGGTAATGCGGAGTAATCGTGGACGTCTAGCTGAGTATTTGGAGCCTTATCTTCTTCTCTTTCGGTTGATCAAGCTCTTCTTCAACTCTCTTCTCTATTTCTCCTTCCCGGAAGCTCGGAATCCTTGCCCGAGGTAAGGGAAGCTAGGTTCTCGCTGTTTTTGGCTGTAACAGAGTCCAGGAACTCATTTGCTGTTGGATAATTGATGGTTTTTGGCTGAAATTGCTGAAGATGGGGTTTCGGGGTTTTCCGGGGTTTGATGAAAATTTGGTGATCTTTCCTTGTTTGTGGTTGCATGTTAAAAAAGTTGGTATTTTCGGGTTGTATGATGAAAATGTGATGTTTTGGACCGATTGCATGTGCCTGGGGTGTTGATTTTGCAGGTTTTGGGTTAAATTTTTGAACTGGGGAAGGTTCCTGTTTGAATTTGCACCGGGCGCATTTCTTCGCACCGGGGCGTGAGTTGATATGGGGAATCCCTGGGTGAATCGCGTCGGGCACTGGGAGAACCACGCCGGGCGCAATAGACCTCTGTAGGTCTCTGGTGAGTCAATCGTCAATAAATCTTCTTGTTCCTTTTCTTCTCCACTCTGTTGTCGGGACCGCACTACAATTACCATGGATAATTCAAAGATGAGGAGAAAGGAGAGAAGAGCACGTGGAACGGTGTCGAAGGAACAAACCAATGTAAAAGGACTCAAAACCTAGGAGCAGAAGAATGTCACGCGTTGTGTGTTGGAGATACTGTGCTGATATAAAACACTTTATGCCAGTTGTTGTTTAAATCAACATAAAAATATTTTCTATGTCGATTAAAATGTAATCAGTATTGAAATTTTTATATTAATTACAAAAATGTTACCTTTTTTTTTGTCAATTACTTTGCAACAACATAAAATCATGTCATAAAATGTATCTTTTTTTTACTAGTATAGCCATCAATATAAAATCCTGTTTTCAAATGTGGGTTTTACACCTAGTACATCCAAAGAGTCGATATGTAAATACTAATTAACTATGACCACAAACCAGTAAGCAAACTATTGAAAAATTAATACCAAAATATCCGTGAAATGATTTCAGGGAGTTGACATAACTCCATCACTACAAATTGCTTATGTGATTTAAAACTTGATATAATACAAGATTATATTCCCTCTTCCATGTTAAGTGTTAATCCTATGCCAGCTTTTCCAATTTCCACGGGCTCACTCACATCACATGGCCTTCAAATAAGCGCAACTAGTTTAAACCATAAAACACGAAGACTCTCTTCAATCCTACCCTATAAAACCCCTTCACATCCCTCTCCAATCCCATCACGAGCTCAGACACCAAACCAAAGTATAAGAGTAGTGTTGTAAGAGTGAGCAACTTGCCAACACCATCGTGAAATGGCTTCCAAAGCTGCTCTTCTTTTGTCCCTTAACATTCTCTTCTTCACTTTGGTTAGCTCCACACCTTCCACAAACCATGGTACTTGTCCCGAAGACACCCTTAAGTTTGGTGTGTGTGCTAGTCTGTTAGGTTTGGTGGACGTGAAACTTGGGGAGCCACCAAAAACCCCATGCTGCTCTCTCATTCAGGGTCTTGTTGATCTTGAAGCTGCAGTGTGCCTTTGCACCGCTCTCAAAGCTAATGTGTTAGGCATCAACCTCGATGTGCCCGTCAAGTTGAACCTGTTACTCAACGTCTGTGGAAAGAAGACTCCTGAAGATTTCATCTGCGCTTAATTCTGCACTTCATATAACTACTTTATCATGTCTTAAGCTTCTTCTATATTTCGCTATATTCGTTATTCATATCATTATTATGTGTACTTTGGTATTCTGTCTGCCACGTGTCATTTAGCCAATGAATGAACATTTTGTTCGTACTTGGTTATTATTGTCGTTAATTTTTATGATGGTTGAAATTTGAAAGGCTCCTTGCTCTTTCTTCTCAGCCTCACTATAGTTCTTTGTATTCTAAGTGAAATTTCTACTAATAAATATCTACATTTTAGCTAATATTCGTTATTTCCTTCATTAATTTTTTTTTTTCTCTTTCTTAATTTCTATTTGAGCATTGAAGCCGCTTATGAAATGATATCCATGTATCGGCGTTAGAACTCCAATAATGAAGAGACAAGAGACTGTTGAGAAAAATTATTCTTAAATTGCCTTTTCCCTTTCTGAATCGAATCCATAGAAAGACCGAGATTATGAAAGAAAAATGATGATGCTGTTAGAATCCTAATCATCAATCCGTTGCAACATTTTCTACCTTTTCTGTTATTTGATTTTGCTATCTTTTGTAATCTTTCTTTTCTGAGATTCCCTTGTACAGATGTATTCCTTTAACAAATTCAGTTAGGCAAGTCATGTATATATAGGACACCTTTTCTGTAATATTTGAGTGAGAAAGAAATATCCTTTTTCCTCAATGTTCATGCATTCTTCCTTTCTCAGTTTTTTATTTTCTGATATGGTGTCAGAGCTCTGAAATTCAGAGCTCTGGCTGCTACATTCAGCAATGACTGACCCTACTCAAGATGCATCTTCTCCATACTACCTACATCCCTCAGAAACCCCAAGTCTCACCATTACCCCCAATATCCTTGAAGGGCAAAACTATCACCAATGGTCCTGTTCGGTTCGAATGAGCCTTATATCTAAGAACAAAATTGGTTTTATCGATGGAAGTATTCAAGCTCCAGCCCGTACAAATGCTCTCTACTCAGCTTGGGAAAGGAACAACATGATGGTTGTTTCCTGGCTTCACAAATCTCTTTCACCACCATCTATCAGGGTGTCATATGGATGGATACTGCCTTTGCAATATGGAATGATCTCAAAGAGAGGTTCTCTCAAGGAGATATGCTCAGGATTGCAGATTTGCAAGACTTGATTTCCACTTTCAAGCAAGGAGAATTAGCTGTGACTGATTATTTCACTGAACTAAAAATTCTCTAGGATGAGCTGGATGTTTTTCGCCCTTTGTCACCTTGCACATGTGCCATTAAATGCACTTGTGCTGCTTCAATTAGCATTGGAAAATACAAATCTCAGGATCAAGTCATTAAGTTCCTTAGGGGATTAAATGACAATTATTCTACTGTGAAGACTCAGATTCTTCTCATGGACCCTCTTCCACCTCTCAATCATGTTTTTTCTCTTGTTGTTCAGGAAGAGAGACAATTTTTTGGTGAATCAAAGGCCTTGGCTGTTGCTGGGAGAGGAGGAAGTTTCAGAAACAACAATGGTCGAGGTGTTGCTTTTGGTGCTTCTGGAAAGGGTAACATAACTCAAAACAAAGGTAGCTATGGTCGAGGAAATAACACGAAAGTTTGTAGTCATTGTGGCAAAGTCGGGCATACAATTGACACATGCTATAGAAAACATGGATTTCCACCGCATTTCAAGTTCAAGAACCAGAACCATGATTTGAGTCTTGCTAATGCTGTATCCCAAGTTGATAATCCTGATGATGATGAGCAGGATGTTGCAGGACCAAAGGCAAATATGCAGTCACAACAATTTGGTTTCACAATAGAGCAGTATCAAGGACTATTAACCCTCTTATAGCAATCGCAAGTCAGGAAGTGTTTCAAATCAAGTTTCTATTATTCCCTCAACATCCACTGATCACAATGAGTCTTCATGTAGTGGTAATAATCCTTCTCCATCTTTTAGTTCATGGATACTTGATAGTGGAGCTACAGATCATATATGCTCATCTCTTTCTAATTTTACTTCATTTCACAAAATCAAACCTATACATGTTAGGCTACCAAATGGAAATAAAGTCATAACCAATTATTCTGGTAGTGTTTTCCTGAGCAAGAATCATGTCATACACAATGTTCTCTACATTCCTTCCTTCTCTTTTAATCTCTTGTCAGTAGCAAAATTAATTGATTGTTTGTCTTGCATCCTCACCTTTGATTCTACTCATTGTCATATTCAAGACAAGATTTCATTGAAGATGATTGGTTCAGCTAAGATGCATGATAGCCTTTATATATTCAGGGTGCCCTCTTACCAAAACTCTCAATACATCAAGCCATCTACTCATGTTGTGAAAGCTGTTAATTTTGTTTCTACTGATCTTGAGACTCTTTGGCACTTCCGATTAGGACATACTTCGAATAAATGTGTTGATGTAATCAAATTTTTTTTTCCCCTTTTTTAAGTATGACAAATCCTATGTTTATGATATTTGTCATTATGCAAAACAAAGTTTGGGTGAGTAATTTGACAAGATAGATGAGTTGTAAACAAGATGGTTGGGTCGTATTATGTGTTGATCATGTTGTTTTAAGCTGTTAACGATGAATGATTATTGAGCTGAATGATGATATTGATGTGCTCCGCTAAGCGCGACCCTTGTCACGCTGGGCGTGAGACTCCTTGGGAGTCTCTGCCTCGAGGGCATTAGACACAATTTGGTTTGCGCTGGGCGCGAGACCAAGGGAGGTCTCTGCCTGGCCTGCGCTGGGCGCAATCGGGTATTGCGCCAGGCGCGAAAGAGCTTTGGACTCTCTGACTAAGTCTTGCCGAGCGCAGGCACGCTTGCGCCGGGCGTGCTGGCCCCTGGAACCCTTTGATTGTGCCACGCCAGGCGCGACCATGAGTGCGCCGGGCGCGTATGAGGATGTGAAGTTATATGCTGAATTGCTGATAATATTGTTTTATGCTGAACTAAGCCGAAAGTGAGGAATATGATGTGATGACTAGCTGAAATTGCTGTTTGAGGATGTTGAGCTATGTTAGGTGTATATTGCTGTAAGATGCTTAAAAGTGCTGTAAGACGATAGGCTGTGCTATTAAGCTGAGCTGTGATGAATGTTGTTTATGCTGATTAATGCTGCCAATGCCGTGTGATGAAAAGTTGTGTTGTGCGGTATGTTGTTAATGATGTAACGCTGAGTTGTGATATGTGATGCTAATGCTAAACTTTATTGTTTGAGTCGAGCTGAATTATATGCTGATAGTTGTTGAATTATGCTGTAATTGCTGAGTTGAGATGTAATTGATAAATATGTTGTGCTGACTAGATGTAAATGCTGAAAAATGATGTTAAGCTGTAATAGATGTATCTCGCTATGCTGAGCTGGGCTGTTATTGATGATTTTAAATGCTGATTTATAATATGGCTGTGCTCTAGAATGATGAGCCGAGTTGTGAGTAGTAAGCTGTGTTGAATACTACTTAGCTGTG